TCACATATGGGGAGCAATATTATAGGCAGAAACATGGGTGTGCTATGGGGTCTCCAGTTTCTCCTATTGTTGCCAACCTGTACATGGAGGAGGTAGAAAAGAGAGCCTTGACGTCCTTTTCAGGGACACCACCAAGTCATTGGTTCAGGTATGTTGACAACACCTAGGTTAAAATTAAATCTCAGGAAGTCCAACTTTTTACTGACCACATCAACTCTGTGGATAAATACATCAAGTTCACACGAGAAGATGTAAAAAATGGCAGGTTGACTTTCTTGGACTGTGAGGTCTCAGTCTCTGATAGAGGACATTTGCAAACCGAGGTGTACCGCAAACCCACCCACACAGACCAGTATTTGCAGTTTGACTCCCATCACCCTTTGGAGCACAAGTTAGGAGTCATCAGGACTCTGTATCACAGAGCAGACAGCGTCCCCACTAGCTCGGGAGCCAGGCAGAAGGAGAAATCCTACACAAGACAGGCTCTAGAGCAATGTGGATATCCTAACTGGGCCTTCCTGAAAGCAGAGAAGAAACTCAAACAGGACTCCAGTCAGCCATCAGGTGAAAAGGAGGAACCCAGACCCAGACCAGTGGTCATTCCATATGTTGAGGGAGTATCAGAGAAACTGAGACGTTTATTTTCTAAACATAACGTCCCAGTGGCTTTTAAACCCCAAAATACATTACGGCAAAGACTGGTTCATCCCAAAGATCCAGTCCCCTGGCACAAACAGAGTAATGTTGTGTGTGCTGTTCAGTGTCAGGAGGGCTATGATCAGTCTTACATCGGGGAAACTAAACAGCCACTGGCCAAAAGGATGGCCCAGCACAGAAGATCAACATCATCAGGCCAGGATTCTGCGGTCTACACTCATCTCCAGGCCAGCGATCACTCTTTCAGGGATGAAGATGTTCACATCCTGGACAGAGAGGAATGATGGTTTGAGAGAGAAGTAAAGGAGGCCATCTTTGTGAAAAGAAATCGTCCATCATTAAACAGGGGTGGAGGCCTCCAGGTTCAACTGTCCCCCTCTTACAATGCTGTTATTGCTAGTATCACTAGAGGTTATGAAGTATTGTGCCAAGTTATGAGTTTTTTTCCCAATGACAGTAAATATGGTAAATCTAGTAATGCTCAGATGTCCCAGTTTTCACCAGCCTTGAATGCAGCATTACCTTTCTTAAGCTGGAGCAGCAAAAACGGTCTCAAATGACAAATGATCAGTGCACTCATGTCGACTGATTCATCCACAGCAGGCGATTTGTGCACATGTATTTCACAATTTCTATGCACAGAATATTCCTACTTGTGCAAATTGAAATGTGTACGGTACATTTGAAAAACGGTTTATGCGTTTGTGAATCATGTAGTACACATTTGTAAAACTTGTGATGCACATATGGATCTTTTTGTACGTATGCAAATCTAGTTTTACGCTTCATAATACATTTTTAGGCTGTGTCCACTCAAGTGTCCCAGCTGACCTCGAATGTTCTGCAGCTCATCTTTTGCCTATGGAGTCCATCTTTTCAGTACTTTTCTTACTGATTTGATCAACTTGAGCTATTGTCTATGTGTCAGCACCATATTGTATGACACAGTGATCATAGTGGTCCAGGGGGGTGGACGACTGGACTTTTGTGTAATCAAATGGAGCTTATCTAGCATTTTTTTTCCATCATGAATGGCACAGCTCACCAGCTGTTTATATTCAGATAATTCACGTGTCAAGCAGCAGTTGTTGAAGTCACCCAAAGCTGCAGTGTTTTATTTTTCTTTTCTATATGGGGAATCTGCTCGGCCAGTAAACACTGTGCTTCGTGCTCTCCTCTGCGTCACAATCTGACCTGATCAGCTGATAACCCTATCAATTTTCTCTTGTAGCCACATTTCACGTAAGAAAAAGGTACAATTCCTCCAGAAGACTTTGCTGAATCACAGTAACAAATCAATCCAATCTATTTTGTTGCGCAACAGTCTCACACTGGCCGAGCGTACTGTAGGTAGCACAACACAACGTCCTTGTCTTTTCCATTTCAGTGTACCAGCTCTTTTATCTCTGGTGTGTCTCTTGTTATTGTTGTCACAGTGAAGACTAAAATCCATAGTTAATGGCTAGAAGACGATCACTAATTCCTTTTACAGGGAAGACAAAAGCTGGAGAAGAACAAGGCATTGATTCTTTGATGGATAGGAGTGTATGTCAATCATAACAGAGACTCCCAAATAATAAAACCTATAATAAAGTAGGATACAATTGTAAAAAGTACTAAAAATTGAACATACACTGAAAAACTGTTGCCTGTTCGGATGGATAATGCAAAAGTAAAATAAGTTATGGTAAAATAAATGTGACTGAAATGTATCCAAGAGGGTAATTACAATTGAAGGAGTGGAACTATCTGAAGGCTTATAATGAATGACAACCATAAGGAGGACTCAGGGAAATAAGCCACCTATATACAGATCATGAAGTGTTAGCCTAATGGTTTGAACAAAGTCCAAGCCATCAACACATATGCTGTGCCAGTCAACAGTTACCTGATACTGGTATGTTAGCCTGGTCAAATAATGAGAAAGGTGCACTGACATCGAGACAGGAAAGCTCCTCACAGTGCCTGAAGGGTTTCATTCCAAGTCCTGTATTTTGAGAGACTGTACACTACAAGGAACACCAAAACCAAGTAGCTGGAATAGTGTACAGAAACATCTGTGCCTAATGTGGACTGGAGGTCCCACAGTGAAAGGGGGAGACGCCACCAAGGGTGGTGGAGAATTGAAGGGCTAAGATACTGTAGGACTTTCAGATCCAGACTAACAAACGTAATGGGCAACTAACTGGACGTTGTGGTGCTCAACAAACTGCAGAAAAAGCAGTGGTGATAGACGTAGAGATCCCAAGTGACTGTAACATTAAGAATAGAATAGATCTAAGAACAGGAGAAGATGGAGAAATACCAAGGTCTGAACAAGGAAATGGAGACGTTGTGGAGATGCAAGGTATCAGTGGTGCCAGTTGTCATAAACAACAGATCCCAGGATCAACCTCAGAGATCCCTGTTCAGAAGAGCGCAGTCTTAGGAACAGCTAAGCTGAAACTGAACCCTCAAGCTCCCAGACGTCTAGAGGAACCGCTCACGAGGGATAAATAGGGTGAGCTGTGTGTGTGTGTGTGTGTGCATAAGTGCGTGTGTGTGATAAAAATTGGCAGATTAATCTTCATATAAAATTCAAGCCTAATGTACCAGTTTGTTCTGCTGGTTTTACAGTCGCCAGGAGAGTAGGAGTAATTTTGTCTGCTTTTGCTTAACTGTCATGCAAATCAAAGATTGATCATTGAAACTGTTCTTAGTTTGAAATGTCTGCGTATAATCATTTCATAACTGTGCTTAGAAAGAAAAGATGACAAATGTTTTCAATGTAGTCTTTACAAGTAATATTCAACTTGGTTAATAAAAGACTTCTGGTTTAGCTTCTTCAAAGAAGATTCAAAGGGACAACCCTAGGTATCTGACATCGTTTGCTTTAGACTTAGAGTCTTTACATATATTTGCTATGAAGAAAGAAAAACAAAACATGCACAGTACGTTGTTTTTCCTCACCAACCATGATCTTTACTTTCACATCTGTCAGGACTGAAGATGTTCTGTGATGCAAGTTCTTTGCTTCTAAAGGGTAAATCAGATAAATCTGTTGGGTTAGCAACATTTTATTTTCTTTGCTCAGCATGAGTGTTTAAATGTGCCTGTCCTGAATTAAAAATTATGTCGAACTAGTCAGTTTACACTTCAGCAATAGCAAACTGTTATGCTTTTATCATTTTGAGTTAGTAACATTGTTTGATAGTAATTTAGCATAGTTCATGTGAATCTTACTTTGCCGTCAGCTTCAAATCTCACATTTTTATGAATCTTTGATGGCATTTTTGATAATGGGAGTAGCAGTTTCCATTTCCTGTTTCACCAAAGAGAAAATACTGCTCAGTTTTTTTGGTCATGTATCAGTCATGTGTCAAGTATTTTGTTTTATTTAATTTTTTGTCATTTTATGTATTTATCCATCCATTTTCCACAGCAAACTTTCTTCACCTCACTGAGTGCATTCATCAACATGCTTTCTATATTTTGTCCCAATAAAATAATGTTGGTTTGTTAATTTTAAATTCAAACAACATTCAATACAAAAATTGATTTTAAATGCATCCAGTTTTTGTCAATACTTAAATAAAAACTTAAGACTTTTTATAAAACTTAAAATTTAACCTACTAATACTTACATTTGAGAATAAATAAATAAATAAATAAATAAATAAATAAATAAATAAATAAATAAAAGCACGCTAGTGTCAACTCACGAGAAATACAGCGTTAAAATTACAGAAACTAAAAAATTGAGCAAGGTATGAGATGTGCTCCAGATGCCCATGACAAATCTGTGTTGAGAAAAAAAAATGTCTTGCAGTTTTTTGGCCATGTTCAGAATTCAAGCAATGTTTCCTGCAACTCACAAATAAATAAATTAATTAATAATAAAAAAAAAAACTTGCAAACATTTGAAAACATTATGGAAAATCCTTTGCAAATGTCGTGTAATTTTTTTCAATAACAGTCACAGTGCAAGGAGATCCTGGTTTTAGCAGCTTTATTACCTAAGGAATGAAATACTGCACATTCTGGTTATTCTGAAAATGATGAAAAAATATAATCTTCCAAATGGCAGGAGATTAAAAAAATCTTATGGTCAGCAGAGAAAATAATAAAGGACTGAGTGCACACCCTTGAGGAGCTCCAGTTTGATAGATGTACTGTTGTTTTACTAACATCAAAGTGTTTCTTTGAGACACATTTTGGGCATAACAAATACATTCACAATCATTATTCTTTCTCATGACAGAGTGTCTATTTGGGATTATTGTTGGGTTCTTGTTTACTAATGTTCCTACATGTTTTCTTTGTCTCTATGTTTTTCAAAAATGTGGAAATATGACGTTAAAAAGTAATGGTTCCCTAAAGACGTTCACCTGCACCACAAATGGCTCAAGCTGCACTACAGGAATCGGCAGCTCAACAGTCAGAATCGACTTTTGCATCACCGTCATAGCTCACATTGGAAACACTAATATTACATCAAAACGTCGGTGTCAGCCTGGTAGGATAGAAGGTGAGGCCATGTGCTTTTCTCAAAAATACCATCAGTTTATCTCTTTCTTCCAGTTCACTTTGCTTGTCTTGTTTTTCTCAGCAATCTTGCCCCCAGTTATTTTGAACAGCGCAGAACCAGTTCATGGTTCACCTGAGTGTCTGACGGTGTCTTGGAGCCGCAAGATTCAGCTGTTTTTTGTTTCGGACAATGAAATCAAAGACCTAAATTCTCAAATTGAATTCAAGGCACTAGAGCAGGTGAGACATTCATATACTGTACATTAAACTAAAAATATAGTCATGTGAAAAGCAAACAAAGTTGTAGCAGGGTAATAGAAAATACCCTAAAGCAAAGTTAAGACAAGATTTCCCACATTTTAAACCACAAGTACTGTATTTTTCAGCCTATAAGTCGCAGTTTTGTTTTGTTTTTTTGCATAATTTCCATGCCTTGCTACTTAGACACTGAAGTGATGTATTTATGGATTTCCCCCCATATTTATAAACCAATTTTTGGCTGAGATATGACCATTTTTCATTAATTCGGACTGAAAATATTGAACACTACCATTTTCAGCCGCTAGATGGCACTCCAGTACTGTGGCATGCTGTTTTGTCATGTAATAGGTAAAAGTGGCTATTAATGACTCAAATCTGCTTGCCGTAACCTGCCACCTTTGTCCAGCTCACCTGGAGCAACCATCAAATCAGCTTCATTTCGCTGCACCGCCCCGGAGAAATGCAGCTGATTTGACCATTGAAGTGCATTTATTGAGTAAAAGTTCAACTGAGACACACCTTTACTATAAAGTTGAGCAAACAAATAATTGTTTTAGGTGTTAATCTTGTTAAAATCTTGTTAAAGTCTTCCCGTGCACGCTCACGTGGCCGACATTTGACAGCCAGTCGATTTTTGGCACAACACCGGCCCACATTTCCAGGTCGTCAGCGGTGACGCATAATAGATGTGACATATACGGCGAAGCAACGTATTTATGTATTTTTCCACTTTATTAGACATATTTGGACTGATGCAACTTATACGGCAGTGCGACGTGTACGGCGGAAAATACCGTATCTGTTTTTTGTTTTTTTAACCTCTGTCACTAATGTTAAATATTAAAAAACATTATTTTATTAATCTGTGGAGAATAAATCTGTAACAATATCAAAAGTTGCTTAGGGCTAATGACTTGAAACAAAATAAATTCACATATTTTACAAAACACGACCCGACTTCGGAATAAGCGGAAAATAATGGATGGATGGATGGATTTTACAAAAATTAATTCTCAATATCTTCTTCTTTCTAGTCCACACTAGTGGATGTTCAGGTCAGAAATGTGACAGTGACTGGGTACAGTTTCCTGGCTTGTTTCTTCACACCTGACACCTCATACATCATCAGGCTTCGCAACCGCTACCTGGGCCCGGCAAGCCCGTGGAGCCCATGGAGCAACGCACTGCAAGGAAGAACAGCAGAGGACGGTGAGGACCATCAGAACCTGTAACCAGCCTGGAATGGTTAACTCGGTGTGAACATACAGCAATAATACTAACCACAAGAGGACAGTAACAGAACTGAAAAGGATGTTCATGTATAATTCCCCCCAAAATTTTGCAGACCTCACAAAAATCCTGCTTTTTTGGAAAATTAGTGAATCAAATCCTCAACAAATAAAGTTAAAAACTTGAATAGGCAGCTAGTTTTTTTCCGTATTCATAGTATTTTCACGTTGCACCACCATCGTAAAAACTTTTCCGTTCTCTTTACAGGCATTTAATTTTGTATTCACAATGTCTAAGCTGTATTAGCTTGGCTCTACATTAGTGACATTCTGTCAAACGTTTTTATTTATTAGCTTTATTTAACCCGGCAAATCCCATCGAGATCACAGATCTCTTTTGCAAGGGTGGCCTGGGTCTGAAGGCTTAATATACATGCTTGTTTTGGACTGTGTGGGGAAACCAGATTATCCAGAGAAAACTCACACAAATATGAGAATAACACTACACACAGAAAGACCTGGGGTCCAAACTAGGGATTAAACCAGGACCTTCTTGGTGCGAGGCAACAGTGAGCCATTGCTGTGACATCAAGAGGTCTTCCTGGAAGCTAGGCTAATGACTAGCCAAACAAAGGCCCGACTTACTGTAAATTATTTTTCAGGCTTATAGAAGAAATTTATTTCTAAAACGGCATACAGATGTAAAAGAATCTAGAGCCTTTATCCATAAATATTAAACCCCAGCATTATTATAAACCCCCTTTTTGTTTGTCATTGTTTGTTTTTTCCAAGCAAACAATGCCTGAATGTATATGTGTGCAGTCTGTGCTGAGAGGCTGCTGAGTGTGTCGGTCCGGCTGATTAGTGTGTTTGATTGAGGAAACAGAGACACATTGAGTAAATAAACATGTCCTGCATAAGTGTAAAGGTTGCAATTGAGCTAAGTAGCAGGGGGTGGAGGTTTGGGCCAGGTTTCAGAAGCTTGAAAGTCATTTAAAAAACTGGTTTCCATTCGGCTAGCTGTTAGCTTACCCTGGATCAAGACTTTTGCCCCTTTTCTCCATACTCTCTATGACTAGTGTCACAGCTGATGGGGTATAAACTATTAATAACTAACAGACTGCACTTACAAATGACATGACTACTGTATTTTTCGGCCTATAAGTCGCAGGTTTTTTCTTCTTTTTTTTTCATAATTCGCATGCCCTGCGACTTATACACCAAAGAGACTTATTTATGTTTATTTCCCATATTTATAAACCAATTTTTGCTGAGATATGACCGTTTTCATTCATTCTGACTGAAAATATTGAACACTTCCATTTTCAGCCGCTAGATGGCACTCGAGTAGTACGGCATGCCGTTGTGTCATGTAATAGGTAAAAGTGGCTAATACAAATAATTGTTTTAGGTGGTTATCTTGTTAAATTTCAAAGACATGCGCAGCGTTCCTCCTTCCTGATTTCCTCCCTGTCTGCACGCTCCTGGAGCACCAAGGCAGCAAATACTTTTGAAAATGCAGCTGATTTGACCGTCAAAGTGCATTTATTACGGAAAACTTAAACTGAGACACACCTTTACTATAATTTCAAGCAAACAAATAATAGTTTTTAAGTGTTAATCTTGTTAAATTCTTGTTAAAGTCCTCTCGTGCACACTCCCGTGACCGCCATTTTGCAGCCAAACGATTTTTGGCACAACACCGGCCCACATTTCCGGGTTGTCAGCGGTGACGTGTAATAAATGCAACGTATACGGCGAAGCGACTTATTTATGGATTTTTCCACTTTATTAGACATATTTGGACTGATGTGATTTATAGGGCGGTGCGCCGTGTATGGCGTAAAATACGATACTCCTTTAAAGCCACCAAACAGTGCAGTGCCCTCCAAGTTGGCAGTGACTCTGATTCAGTCGAAGGAGTTCACGTATCTTGGAGTTCTTTGTTGACAGATCTGCAGTAATGAGGGTGTTGCTTCAGTCTGTCGTGATGAAGACACAGCTGAGTAGAAAGGCAAAGCTTTTGATTTCCTGGTATATTTATGCTCCGACCCACACCTGCGGTCATGAGGCATGGATCATCGCCATGACTGAAATTTGGCGTCTCCTGTTGGGAGGCCGGGCGTAGCTTTAGTTAAGATGAAGAGCTCCATCATCGGCTGGGAGCTCGTACTAGAGCCGCTGCAAAACTTCACCCCGTCAGAGCAAGAGTCTCAAAGTGACATGATTTCTTTTGCTAGTGAAGTGGCACAAAATTGCCTTCAGAGGAGTGCCTAACCATAATTACAATATTTTAAAAATAATTAGAAAACAAATATTTTGTTCTGGTTTAAATGATCTCTGAATAAATGTGAAGTTTTATCTTGTGTTGTAAACATTGCTGCAGTAAACAATTAAAACCTCTTTCTTTCTTTGCTGTCACTGAAAGCTAAAAGTGTCCCCATGTTCCATGTTGTAAAAAAAAAAAAAAAATGATCAGGTGTAGATTTAATCACATTTATTACAAAGTTTTGGAGAAAAGTCAGACCCACAGAGAGTCGATACACTACAAGTACAGAACTTATTCATGTCTTGCCCTGTCTGAGTTTCTGACCCGTTTGGCTGACTGGAATGAAAAGTCACCAAAGCATTAAAATATTATTAACAATGACCTTAAAGTAATAAAATAATTATAAGGTTATCAGTATGGTAAAATAACACTGAATATATCAGAAAGCAGATTGATAAATAACATATTTCCACCACATTCCTCCCTCTGAGAATCAAATTAATCCTCACAAAATGGGAATATACGGTATATTATCCATTGTCTACTTAAGGCAAAAATAATGACTACTAAAACACTAATAAGAAAAAAACAAACAAAAGGAAAACCCTCAGTCATCTCTGAAATTTTAACAACATTCATATTTGATGTAAAGGGTATATGTGGCAACACAAACAATTGAACCAATGAAGGATAAACAAAAAAAAACAACACAAAAAAATCCACACACAAAGAAATCTCAGTGAATATACGGTAAACAGTGATATACTGAAGTCTCTTTAGCAAATGTCAATTAATTCTAAAGAGTCCTCCGTGGTCTGAGGGGCCTTAAAAGTGCTTTGTTGGGTCTGAAAATCAGTCATTTACTCATCTTAAAACTCATGCATCAAAACTGCAGAATAACCACACTGATCTTTAAGTGGTTCCCAACACAAGTCCTTGAGGGACACCATCCTGCATGTTTTAGTTGTTTCCTGCTCCAACACACCTGATTCAGTGAATTACTTAAAGTTCTGCAGAAGCCCGTTAATCACTCTTCCATTCAAATTAGGTGTCAAAGCAGGATAACAATTAAAACATGCAGGATGGTGTTCCTCAAGGACCATGGTTGGGAACCATTCCTTTAGGTAACTAGGTAAATCTTAGAGGTAGTTCTTAATCTTCATTAGATACAATTTATTCTTCTCCCTTTTGTTTATTCCAAAACTCAAACAAATTTATCATCTTTTACTAAGTGAACCTTCTATCTGCAAAGTTTGTTCTCGAACTAAATTTTATTTTGTGCATTACTTTAAACACTGTAGCTCTGGTGATTACAAACAGCATGAGAAAAGTAACTTAATTAGGGGAAGGTCAAAGCTGAGCAGGATCCAGTCTGAATTGTTCCCCTCAGGTCAGTGGGCAAAATGCCTGTTTTTATCACCTCTGACAGCCGAATGACCTCATTGCATCACATCCGTCTCCTTCGTTGTCATCTATCCAGGGGTCCAGTTCCATCTACGTCTCCTTCAGGGAACTGGACAGCTGTATGAACAATTCCAGTCTTGGCCACGCCGCCTCAAGAGGTCAGACAGTTCTCACTAAAAGTTCTCAGTGCATGCAGGCAAACGTCACCTCACGGACTCAGAACAGAAGAGTGGACAGAGTCAAACTTCTCTTTTCGTTCTTCCTCAGCTTCAGCTCTGCTGCTCAAATGCCATGATTGAAACATTAAAGTGTCTCAAAGCATGGTTTGACCTCAAGAGACCACATACGTGTGGGTCACTGTTTCTCAGTGGCCGTCGGCAGAAAAGTTCTGAGGTCTGGAACATTCACAGCTGGACCCTGTCTCTCTGGAAACCCTGACTCAAACGGTTTCCCCTGATCCTCTCAAAAAGTACTGAACAGAAAAGAAAGGGTTAAAACACAGCTTCATATAAGTGTTTCTTAACTGCAGTTATGTTTTTAAAACATCTGGATTTTCTTCAGTGAGCATGATTTGTCCCTCAGATCCAAAACCGAGTCAAACGAAACGAGGACAAAATACAAAGTTATGCTACAATGACAAAAATCATTAAACGATCGATTTGGTAATTGAGATCTGTGTGAAACTTCTCCTTTCATCATCATTTTAACTGTGTCAGGATCCCAAGTAAAAAAACAAAAACGGGAATGAACTTTCATCTTTTTTTTATTTAACTAGATTTTGAAACTCCATTTGGATCAAAGTCTCATTTGCAAGAGGGACCTAGGCCAAAAACCTTTTGCATCATAATGCAGACAAGTGCATGGAATAAACAAAAAAACTGATTTGATGCTTGGAACAACAGTGAAAATATAAATAAAAATGCACAGCATGCTCCTTTACACCGGAGTATCCAAAAGAAAACACGTGGTCATTTCACTGGAAAAACTAAATATACAAATACAAAAATCAAGATGTGCCTAAAACTGACTGAAAGATGTCCTGTTTACTCATCTGAACCTGGCAAACTGCTGACAAGTGTAAAAAAAATAGCAGATAAACAGTGATTAGGCTTAACAGGAGCTCAAAATTACAAAATCCCTTTTTCCGTTTGCAACAATAAGACATCAAAACGACAGAAATCAAATAATTGAACAAATAAAAACAACTCTTTAAATGTGTAATTAGATGTGCCCATATCTGCATAAAATGAGACTTAACAAAGATAACTGATGGTTGCTCTCTTCTGCTTAAATAATGAATATTTACTAAATATTTCTGTTTCTAATCATTTGAATGTTTATTCCTTAATTTTAAGTATTTTTGTATTATGGGAATTTTTCTGTTTTTGGAAGGAATGTTAGTAAAATACAAGTACATATACAGGAAAAAAAACACGTTTTGGTATAAAGTGAATCTCTACTAAAATTGAACAGACCTGATAGTTAAAACTATATAGTTTTTCCCACTATCATCACCTTTACGTAATTTTCAGAACAAAGAAACAGCACACGTTGTTTAAAGATGGTCTAGTCCCTCGTTACTTCGCCGTTCGTTTAGCGTGGACTCGCTCTATCGCGGTTTTTCAAAATAAGATTGGACATGACACACAACTGTCTGATTGATCTGAAGCTCTCGACCTTGACCTCTCTAAGTGGCTTTAAACATCTGTTAAGTTCTTGGCAAGAACCAATGCAGACATGTTCCTGTTTTTAGTTTTCTACACCGCCTTACAATCTAGCTGTTTTTTTGTTTGTTTTTTTACTACTTTTTTCCTTTTGACTGTTCTTTTGGTTGCCATTTTATTTTAATTTGTAAAAAAAAAAAAACACTATATACCTCTTTTATGATCGTTTATTATTGTCGTTGTTGTCCACCGTTGTCATCGTTCTTTGTTAAAATCAGGTCTCTCTTGTAAATGAGTCCCCGAGGCTCAGTGGGATTAACCTGTACAAATAAAGGTTGAATGAATGATGGATGAGCCGCACGATCTGCATGAAATTTTTATTTAAAATAAATTATTTTAAATTATTTGGCACCTCCTGTACCTTTGTGCAGCCCACACTGCAGGATAAACTTCCTGCTGCAGCTGATCGGCTGATCACCGTGCAGGGCAGAGAAGTGGGTGTGGCCAAGAGCACTTGCAGGTGGCAAAGAGCAGAGGAGGCAGGAAGCTGAAATCATGACATTCTGTGCTCTTTTAGAGCGTTTAGAGCTTAGAAACATTGTTTAGAATATTGCAATAGTGTGGGAAGGGTTTAAAACACCTTTATATATAAATACTAAAATAAACTACTACCTACTACTTGTACTACTATTCCTACTTAGCGTTTTTTATTTTATCGCGGGGCTTCAGGGGACAGATCCCAGCGATAAACGAGGGACTACTGTTCTGTGCTGTAACCATTAACCTATATCTATGTAAATCTTAACAAATGAAGGGACAATATTTCAATGGTCTCGACAAACCAAAGGATTAATTTACACAACTTGTCTTTTAACACGGCTGAAGCTGAAACCAGTTGTGCAGCTCTCAGAGAGAACGCCACGGGCCAAAAACACACAAAAGAAAACTAAACTGACCCAAAACCTGACAAATGCATTCAGTTGTAAAGCATGAATAGAAAACAAACACGGCAGGGAAAAATAAATGAATAAATAAACTCAGAAACATTAAAAATAAATAAGTCAGTGAGGACAACTACAGGTTTTAATAGGGTTATCTTATATTTTAGTCGGCTAAACTACTAAACTAAACTGCTCGGGGGGCCACAGTTACTGAAAGCCAAGAGCTCAGGGGCCGGACATCTAGCGGTTATTGTCATTAAGTTTGTTTTATGGTTTAAAATCTAGTTTTATTTCAAATGAACCCATAGGTGGGCCGAACTGAGCTCACCTGTGGGCCTGATCTGGCCCCCGGGCCGCCAGTTGAATAGTCCTGCAAGCTTCTCTGAACAACTATTCCTCACGTTAAACAGGTGAATTAAGCTACTTTCTCTGTTGTTTTTGTTTTTTTCTGTTTACAGCTAAATTTCTTGTTTTGTTCTACACAAATGATCTGAACAGTATCAAATTATCGAAACAAAATCTAACCTGTTTAACTCTTATTTTCACCAGTTTAATTATAACTTTAGCCTTCAGTTCACGTCTTAATGAAAAAAGTTTTCACTCCTCAGTCGGTGATTGTTGTCCGTTACAAGTTCTGTATGAATGTATCAGGAAGCAGATCAATAAATAAAATATTTCCATCACATTTCTGATCAACATGTGTCTGCCTCTAATGAAGTTAGGAATTACAAATACTCACATTACTGTAATTAAGTAGATTTTTTGGGTACTTGTACTTTTATGAGTATTTCTTTCAAGTGTGTAATTTTACTCATACTTAAGTACAATGTAGGCCATGTAATCTACTTTACTTTTAAAATCAGAAGTTGCTACTGAGTACAACCACAATTTGAATTAATATTCAAACTGTTCATCTGTCTGCTGTTCAGTGTATTTGGAAAAGTTTAAAATACCGGTTCAAAAACATTTTTGTCCTTTAACAAACAGAATTCCTGCTTTTTCTACATTTGTTTACAAAAGAAATTACCTTAGTCTAATTTTTCTACACTTTATTGTTCATCTGAGGAATGAGCTTTGAATGTAACTATTATATACAGTAAATCAAACTGAATGACTTCTATTGACAAAACAATAAAACATCAATTGGTTAAAAAGTAATTAATACTCTGTGTAGTTTTGAGAAGAGTACTTTGTACTTAAGTATTTTTATACTATAGTACTTTATAGTACTTTTACTTGTAATTGAGTACAATTTAAGCAGTGTAACAGTACTTGTAGGGCAGCTGTGTGGATGAGTGGTTAGAGCAGTCGTCCTCCAATGCGAGAGTTGGGGGTTCAAATCCAACAGCAGTCACATGCCGAAGTGTCTCAGGGCAAGACACTGAACCCCTCATAGCCTCTGATGTGTGTCCCATCAGTGTATGAATGTGATAAAGCTCTGATTAGTCTCTTCAGAATGAGTTGTTCAATTATCTTTGTGTAGATCTAGTAGAGTGCTGTATGAATGAGTAAATGAAGCACAGACTGTTGTAAAGAGCTTTGAGTACCTCGATAAGATAGAACGGTGCTATATAAATACAGTCCTTTTTGTACTTGAGTACAAGTTTTCAGTACTCTTTCCACCTCTGCCAATGACTGAATTTGCTTCATTTCACCAGCCCCGTCTGCAGCTCCAACCCTCTGGAGGCAGGTGAAGCACTCCAGCAGCTTTGGATGGAGACTCGTGTCTCTGCTGTGGAAGGTGTGTGTTCACATGTGGGGGGGGCTCTTGAATAATAGATTAGTTTTCTGTGCCTCCTCACTCTGTGCTCGACAGTTTGCAGTGTAATAATCTATGGATGTAATAAGTTTTCAGTCATCTCTCACATTTTTATTTTTTATGAAAATCCTTATTGCGTTATGGGTGTGTTCTACTTCTTTTTCTCTTTTTAATTGTCTGCATTCAGCCTCTGCCTCACTCTCTGGCCCGTGGCAGAGTTGTCTTCTACAACGTCTCCTGTGAAACAGAAAATGCTCAGGTTCTTGGTGATCACGGGAGCTGCAACAATTTGCATGGTGTGAATACTTCCTGCAGCTTGCATCTCCCCTCCGGACGATGCTCCTGCGCTCTGACGGCCTCAACCTCTGCAGGGCCTTCACCACAAGCTCGAATCTGGATCCCCGTTGTCCCAGAGACAGGTAACATTTCTACTGCTCCCGAGAGCCAGACACAACTGTTCTAGCATCAGGTGAGACAGACGACAGGTGTGCAAAGCAGCTGCTGCCTTGCCTTGTAACGTTTAAGCCTCTGTATTTATATAAGTCTGTAAAGACTTGTATTTTTTTTTTTTTTACTTGTATAGTTGCTTTGTGCAGAGATCAATCATTTGCAGCGAGTCAGACTCTTCTAAAAATTTCTCTGACCTTCTCTTTTGTGTCGAACGTTGACGACGCCAAGGACAGACGATCCAAAATGTGCTGTCATTATTTGAGCTACAGCTTCATTGTCGTCTTTGTTCTTCTCTCAGAGCCACCAGCCCCGCATCAAATCGCTGCCTCTCCGCTGAATGACTTCAGCTTGGAGGTTCGGTGGACGTCCCCACAAAATCGATCCGTGAGCGGGTTTGTTGTCGAGTGGTTTGCTGTCAGAGAGAAAAGCAGCCGCGTCCTTCACTGGGAGAAGCTGAACAGTTCCTGCACGAAGCTGCTCATCACTGGTAACCCAACAGAACCTGTAACACAGAAACCCCAGTTCAGAAAATGTTGGGAAGTTGTGTACGAGGTGAATAAAAACATAAGCTCATTCACAATGGAGCATAGTAAACATCTCAAATGGGGGGGAAAAAATGAATGTTTTAAAAGAAATACATTAAGGGACAACAAAAGTAAGTGGTACTGATAAGAAACAGCTAGAGGAGCATTTATCAGCTAATTAGCTTAATTAGCAACAAGTCATTAAGAAGCCTGGGTTTAAAAAAGCATTTTAGAGAGACAAGACTTTTAGAGGTAAAGATGGACAGAGGTTCAATTTGCAATAAAAGTTGTGAAACAATTTCAGAATAATATTCCCAGTATAAAATTGGGAAGACTATAAATATCCTATCATCTACAACTCATAAAAACTTTCTTTCGGCTGCTCTTTTCTCCAGGGGTCAACATAGTGAGCAAACGCATGAAACATTTGACTTTGGGTTTACACCAGATGCCCTTCCTGATGCAACCTGGGCTCAATTCAGTTCAGTTTATTTCTATAGCACCAAGTCACAACAGAAGTCGTCTCAGGGCACTGAACAGAAATATTCATATATAAAAATAATAATTTAACATTATTTATGAGGAGCAGACTGATTTGAATTTAACTCCATCACAGAACTCTCATCTTGAGCATGAAGGCGACAGTGGAAAGGAAAAACTCACTCATGAGGAAGAAACCTTTAGCAGAACCAGGTTCAGGACAAGTGGCCATCTGCTTCAACCAGCTGGGTTTGAGAGGAACAGATACACAATGGCAGGTAGAGAATCACATGTTAAGATAGAAATAGTATCAAATGAAAACTATTCAGTTGTAACAAATCATTTAATTCGTTGTTTCATTGGCTCAAACCCACAACCTCAGGACTGTGAGAGTGCTGCACTGACCACCGAGCTGCTGCAACTTATGTCTATAGTTCATAACATTATTAAAAGATTTAAATAATTTAACCTCCAAAGGACAAAACTGAGGGTAGATATCGGATGCCATCATCTTTGCCCCTCAGGGGCCACTGCACTAAAAACAGGTCTGATTCTGTTCTGGACATGGGCTCAGGTACACGTTTACCAGTTATTGTCTGTAAACACAGCTTGCCATGCCGTGCACGAAGGCAGGTTCCAGCTCTGCTATACAAAGAAGAAGTCTTACAGTATGTGAACACCGTCCAGCTACGCTGCTGTCTCTCTGATCTAAATTTAAAATGGATCGAGTCAAAGTGGAAAACTATTCTGCGTCCAGATGAGTCAACATTCTTATTGGAAACCACAGAAAACATGACCTTTGTACTATAGAGGAGAGGGATCATCCAACGTCATCCAGCATGTTATCAGCACACAGTAAGCCTGCCTCGCTGATGGTAGAGGGGTGCATTAACGCACTATACACTTCTGGAGCGCCATCAGTGCTGAAGGTTTTAGATCAACATATGTTCTCAGAAAATACCCATCAAAGAAGAGCCAGAACTGTTGAGCAGCTGGAATCCTCCACCAGACAACGTTCCCTCCAACAGTGGTCTCCTCAGTTCCTAAACGTTTAGCCGTTAAAAGACGAGGGCATTCCTCACAATAGTGAACATGGTCCCGTTTCAGTTTTTCTTTGAGAAAGGTTAATGTCATCAAATTCAAAATGATATTCATTTTCTTAGGTTAAAGTTTTGACATGAATTCACGGGCAACTCTCGTTTTTATTTGCATTTTACACAACGTTCCAACGTCTTCAGAGCAGAGGTTGTATTCTCATTTCATGGCAAACGTAAATTGTTTTGGTCTTTGTGTTTTTCAGAGGACGTGAAGCCGATGGAGCGTTACACAGTTTCTGTGAAAGCTCTGTACGGGGACCACGGAGCAGAAACGTATCAAACACTCTACATTTATACACGGCAGGGCGGTGCGTGATCTTAACAGGGAAACTTGTACTTAATAATATCCACGTTAAACCTAAAAGTAGATTCAAGTTAGTTTATAACTTTGTAAACAAACATTAAACATAGAAATAGAAAAGGTTAATGACTGTTTGAACTTTGTGACCATTCAGTGCTCAAGTTATTAAATTTTTAGACACAGCAAATAAATGTGTTAAATACAGCTCAGCGCCCACATTTACTTTAATGAATAAACGCGTGAGTTGCTCACTCGTGTTTCCCCACAGCGCCCTCTGCTGGTCCTAATGTGAAAGGGCACCACATCTCAGGCAGCTCAGTGGAGCTCCGCTGGACCGCTCCGCCTGTGGAGCAGCTTCATGGCTTCATCTGCAACTACACCCTCTTCTACAACTCCCACAACCAACCAGCAAGACGTGAGTGACATGCAAATGTAGTGTTTTATTTTTATTTTTATTGAACGTCTTGTAAGAAAGGTTTGTTGAAACAGAAAACTTTTCTGTTGGGGTCATAGTGTTTGAGAAACGTTCATGGAAAACCTCCATGTGCCCTGATGAGCCAGATAACCAACATTTATATCATCAACTTGCAAAAGAAATATGGTATATAATTGTTTTTAAATATATTTTATGTGTTATCATTATTACCCAAACACTGAAATGTAAAGGTAGACAGTAAAGTTTTTGATTTTGTGTGTTTCTATCGATTCAGTTCAGTTTATTTCTATAGCGCCAAGACACAACAGAAGTTGTCCAAGGGCACTGTACAAAAAAATAAAAATAAAAATCACATACAAATAACAGCCAATTGGTAAAAGTTATCGAGCAGATTCAGTGAATCTTCATTTCGTTTGCAGTCTCCCATCCTGAGCAAGCACAAAGGAGACAGTGGAAAGGAAAAACTCCCTTTAAACAAGAAGAAACCTCCAGCAGAACCAGGCTCAGGACAAGTGGCCATCTGCTTCGACTGGCTGGGTTTGAGAGGACAAAGAGGAACAGATAAATAGAATGGCAGGTGCAGATGTAGGTCCAGATGCAGGTGCATGTGCATGTGCAGGTGCAAGTCCAGGTGAACCCCCTATTGGAAGAAAGACAAAAAAAGCACATTAAGGATAGAAATAACTACAAATACAAAGCAGGTAGAGTAAGTAAAGACAGCAGCAGAGTGAAGAAATGTGGTCAGTTTGTCCTCCAGCTGTCTAAGCCTATAGCAGCATAACTAAGGAATAGCTAAGGAAACCCAAGCCAACCCTAACTATAGGATTTATCAAAAAGGAAAGTTAAGTCCAGTCTTAAAACTGGACAATGTGTCAGCCCTATAGGCAGAAACTGGAAGTTGGTTCCACAAGAGAGGAGCCTGATAACTGAAAGATTTTCCTCCCATTCTGCTTTTGGAAACTCGAGGAACCACAAGTAAACCTGCAGTCAGAGTGAAGTGCTCTGTTAGGAAAATATGGAACAACAAGTTCTCTAATAAAAGATGCAGCTAGGTTGTTGAGAGCTTTGTAGGTTATTTTGAATTATATTCAGAATTTGACAAGGAGCCAGTGGAGAGGTGCTAAAATTGGAGAGATATAATCTCTCCTACAAACTCTCATTAAAACTCTGGCAGCAGCATTTTGGATAAACTGAAGACTTTTTAAAGACAGTATCTTGGTATAATGAGAATAAAGCTTGTTCTGATTCTGTTAGCAAAATATCTCATGAAACACTGGGCAGCTTTTAATGAAACATGTAGAAGACTGAATTTAGATCCAAAACTAAATAACTTTTTGAGTCAACGCTACTCAAAATGACTACTACAGCCAAGTTACCTTCCATCCATCCATTATCTTTTACCCGCTTCTTCTATTTTGGGTCACGGGGGTCACCGGTGCCCATATCCAGCAATCACTGTGCCAGGGGTGGGGTACACCCTGGACGGGGCCAAGTGACCTATAAAACACAAAAATGGCCATAACTCTCAGTTTTTCAGGTATTGACCTAAACTTCAGTGTTGTAGAAGTTGAGACTGATCTCCAACAACTTGTCAATTTCTCTGTCTGTTAACAAAATATTTCATGAACCAGTGAACAGATTTCAATAAAACCATAAAAGTCCATGCTCAATAATCCAGGTATACAATTCAACAATTTTCAGTCAGGTCGTCTGGACAGTTTCTTTTTTTTTTTGCTGAAACGTTTCACCTTCCATCCAGAATGCTTCATCAGTCAAGAAAACACACAACACAAAACTGATTCTTCCCCCAAACAGCTTACTCCAAAGTGGATTTCAATAAAACTGTCTGAAAGTAATCATTGGGTATCCTGATGCATGCTCAATAATCCAGGTAGAAAAATCTAAAAAAGTTAAATCTGGTCCTCTGAGCAGCAGGACCACACTTTCCACAGAACAACTGTGTCAACTCTTGAAACTGTGCCTGCAGTCAACCTACTTCACATATGGGGAGCAATATTATAGGCAGAAACATGGGTGTGCTATGGGGTCTCCAGTTTCTCCTATTGTTGCCAACCTGTACATGGAGGAGGTAGAAAAGAGAGCTTTGACATCCTTTTCAGGGACACCACCAAGTCATTGGTTCAGGTATGTTGACGACACCTGGGTTAAAAT